TCGTGGTTCCTGAGCATTTCTTCTCCTCTCCTGTAGAGCATATACGACTTCCCTTCTAGGGTTACCATCAGACCGTATTGTGTATCTTCAGTTGGGAATTTGAAGAAGAGGGCCTCGGCCGTAATCACTTGTCCCGACGACAACCCTCGGAGAACCCGTACCCGCCCTCCCAAACGTGTGCTTGATCCCTCCAGTATAAAGGTGGACCCAGGTTCGTGAACCTCAATTAGAAGATAATTGTGCGGATGGGCGTCCAGGGGGGCGAACGGATCCTCCTGCACCTTCGCCGTCAACTTCCGCGGATAGTTCGTCCCGAACTCAGCAATGGGCACTCTCCCTCGTAGTGGAATATCACGGATAGAGATCGGCATGATACGTGAGAACCTCCTCGGTCCGTCACGATCCGTGAAGTTCACATCAATGTAGCCAGAATGTGGCGCAGAAGAGTGGAGATCCACCTTTTCGAACATGATGGGGTTCTCGGCTGGCCATGGGAATTTCTCAGTATGTTGCAGAGTCCACTGCCCGCGCCCCTTTGCCTTGAGGGGGTGCTCGTTACGCTGAGCGCTCCAGCTAGTGCTTTCATAATACGGTACTCGCGGCTCGTCTCCGTATACAAAAACATTGTGCAAGGAGATCCCATATAGTCCTTCGTTTTCAAGGGTCCGAAAGCAGACTGATTGGAGAGCATCGCTAAAGCGACAATAGTACTTGAAGGGCCTTTCGAGGCCACCCAACGCCGTCCCGATGGTCACGACTTGCAAGAATGTTCTAAGGGCCATTGACAACGATTTGACGGATGAAGCCTGTGACTAACATATATCTCTCAATTATTCGCATGCTCTACCCCGTGCCCATATGAGCATTGACGAACACAACGGAGATCCATGGTAATCAGATAGCATACTAACGGTGACAACGATGGACACATGACGACACCCATTGGAGACGATGCCCTTTGCATTGGCAAGTCTGCCGAAGACACCATTCTTGACGATAAAAAACCACCGCATTCCGACTGTCTAAGGTCTATACAGGACTATACGGTCACTTCACGTCGTTGAGTGCTCCGTGGCTACTGCAACTGCGAGACGTCTCATCTCGACTCGGCTAAGTCGCTTGGTACACAACAGATATAAAGATATTATCGATCTCGCGGGAAGCCCGATTCGCGATACTCCAACGAGTCAATTGTTGCTTCTGGTTGTGTTTGCGCCATGCTCGAGCAGCTCCAGCAACTAGGCAGCGCACGAAGTTAGTTTTGTTGGAAGAGACAGATTCCAGGAATCGATCAACTTGCGCCGCGTTTAGTGCAAAATTCAAGAAAAATAATACTGCGGAACGTCCTTCTCTGGGGATCGAACCTGCGTGGTCTCATCAGAGGTTAGCGCATGATTAAAGGCTCATGGCTGTCGACACTGACGCTCATCCACCTCACTAAAAGCCGACTATGCCTTCAGAGGTGTAGGCCTGACCACGGCTCTTTCCCATCGTAGCCCATGCTCTCATAATTTCTCGCTCACAGTACTCTGTCAATGCAGTATGTCATCGTTCACTCTTTCCTCACCTGATCTGCATCCGATGGTCACCACTGCAAGGTCCACTGAGGGTAGCTCAATGAATACGGGGACTCTTTGTGACACGAATGAGCCTATGGAGGAGGTCTTCCGAATCCGACCAGCGGATAGGGATAATATCAACCTCGCTGACTTCGAGTATGCCACTCGCAACCTCTCGGATCTACACGTCTCGTCTTGACAGGTCCTTGGCGGAGATGCTATGGTCTCCTCAGCTCATTATAGAACTCGATGCGGCCAAGCTGAGCCACTTGGATATCCTCAGACTAGTGAGCTATAGGGAGATGCCTCCTCACAAATATCGACGTGTTTAGACCAGAAGTTGGACTACGTTGGCACTAAGAACGGGTCTCTCGGCCCGTCAAGTGAACCTCACGTCCCTCGGGGCGAGCCTCTCGAATCTCCACCAAGTATGAGAGTGATATCAACCCATAATGCTGCAGCACTGCCGCGCTTAGGTGGAGGCCCTGCGTAGGGTGTTCGATGAGACCGCTGCTGCTGACTCGCGACGAGCTGATCCGCCGCAAGTCATTTGCCACACTATCTTCATAGCGTGAGATTCCACACCTCTGAGAGTCTTATCGTTACCAGCTTTTTGCAGATTTCCCGGTATCGACCAAGTCACCAACGAGGTGGCCTCACATTGTCTCCGCATGGCCAATGTAGTTGTCTTGCCTGCCAAAGACGGCTCACTCGTGACCATCTCGAAGCCGACTCTGCGAAACCTTCAGGACATCCCTCTGTCAATTCGTAACACAGTCATTGGAACCATGAAGGGAGCCGATCCAACTGTGGTCCCACAAGCCGAAGCCTCGACCGCTGGAGGCTTTATACAATGCGACTCTTGCGGGAAGATGCGTTTGGTTGATCGAATCGCCTTGGCGGTCTCGCAGAAACTGCGGAGGTTCGATTGCGGTATGTTGGAGAATACTCGGTGCATGCAAGCAGATGAGTGGAGGCCACAGTATAGTCCCTTCGCGGGTGCCGATGGAGTCCCTCCTGGAGCCGCCCAGAGAGTTGACTACACCATCAAAGAGACTAAGCCAAAGACAAACGTCAGCGGAGCGAAGCTTGTGGGGAAGAGTGCAGCAGCAGCAGCAACAACCAAGCCGAGGGTGCGCTTGTCTTCATCCTCTATGAAGAATGGAAACCAGAAAACTGAAATTCCAACTGTTGAGGTTCCAGTAGTTCCTAGGCAGGATAATGATGCTCTCGTTGGAGGGGGAGGTGTCTCTGA